CAACATCAACAACACAATTTACACAACAAGCACAACACCCCTTTACCATAACATCCATATATAATGTTCCCTTTCTCCTCAATTATCAACAAGACAGAAAATAAATGGCCATGACAAGGACCGATGCTTTGCAATACAGTAAAACAGGAATAGCCTCGACAAGGGCTTCACAAATCAAACATCACTAATTTAAACACATGAAAGATATTCACAATCTCGGGACTAGAACTTTGAAAAACTTACCGAGAGTCCTCTAGGCATACGATTTTTCAGTTTTCCCTCGGCAAGTCTTGAGTCCCTAGAATCTCACAAGAGTACTTAAAACAAAGAAATCACAAAAACCAAATTGAAAAATAGCCATAAAACACAATATTCACAATTAAACCAAAGTTAATCCTTGAACCTCGGTTACGAAACCGTTTGCAATCCCCGGCAACGGCACCAAAAATTGGTTAGTCAGTATATGTTACCAATAATATTCAACCCTTGCAATAGCACAAATCATTGTAAAATAGGGCTATCATAGGGGTAAGTCGAACCACAAGGACTACAAGTATATGGCAACCAAGGCTTTTAAAAAAAAAATTTTTAATGAAAGAGGTGTAAGGTTTGGTTTGGTTTGGTTTGGTTTGTCACTTAGAAGCTAGGAAATGAAAATTGCATAAAACAATAAATAGAAGGAATTTAAGAAGAGAGGAAATTATGTAAAGAGGGCTAGGGAAGTGAATCCACCACCAACCATATAAACATGCTAGCTTGTGATTAACTTGGGAAACAACTTAGGTATATGACAATGATATGTAGTAATACAAGATTACTACATTATCTTCAAGAAGTTCATAAAATCAAGAATTAAGTATAATCCATCAAAGTGTCACATGCTTAAACTACCTAAGCTAGAGTGTAGCTATGACATGCTCACTAAGCTAGGGACTATCAAACTCCTCAATAACTATGGTAATAGCACATGAAGTCAAAAACCAAGAATAATCCATCAAAAGGAGGCCCTAAGCTATGGACTATCAAACTTCTCACACAACATGCCATTAAACACCATTTCATAATCTCATTTGCATTCTCACTATGAAAATGCAAGCCATATAATCATGAGAAAATATAATCTAAGACAAGACAATAGATTCAACATAATCATTTATTGATATTAAGATCCATTACAACATGTGTAGAGCTCTAGAATATGAAACTATTATATACATGATTCATTCTCCAAATTAAAAACAAAACTAGAGCATGCTTACAAAGAAAGGCTTTATCACCTCCCTAGAAAGGGAGTTAGTTACCCATAGAAGCAAGTGAGGAAGAGGTTGAGGAGATCTTCCCCTCCATTTTCGCACCTCCTAGCCAAGAACAACCCAAGTTCTCAATACACAATATTTCTCTCTCTAGAAAACCTTATAATCTTGGATATCTTGTTTTCCATCATTCAAGCCACAAATATAGGCAATATATCCTCCCAACAACTCTTAATTCGTGGCTAGAAAACCCTGGAAGAGTGCAGACCTATCCATTCAATCAAGGGGACAACATTGGGTGAAACAGTACAGCACACGGCCTGCTGTCTGGAACATGGTGGGCACCCGCAGCGCATGGTGGGCACCCGCGGAGTGTCAAGGCTAGCATCCACACGCTAGCAACGGGGCACTTGGGGCTGCTGATGGCAACTGGCGAGCCCCCATAGGAATTGGCGGGCGGCCACCAAATTTTGAGGCTACTAGAATGCATTTCCTTTCTTTCTTTGGAATTAAATGCAATGATCACAAATTGGCGGGCGCCTGCAATGGACCTGGGCTCAATTCTCCTTCTTGAATTGACTTTGGCTTGGCCCGATGACACTATCCTTCTTCTTAGCACTTTGCAGAGAGTGCCATGAGTTCACTGGCACATATTAGCTTAGCAAAACTGTAGAGTCCCGGCCCAGCATGCTTTGATCTTCAAGAACTCACCAAAATATCATTTTTATTCCTTTTTGGGAAATAAACCTGAAAATACATAAAAACATGCAAATGAAGATAACCTATACAATAGAACCAACTAATGGACTTAACTAATGCAAATAAGGGCTCTTGAATATGCAATATTCAGCGCTTATCATGCCTTAAACTTTATTTTCTAATGCATAGCTTCTGATGGATTGTTTTAATGCTGATTGCTTGTTATATGCATTGAGACTACTCTTTGAACAAGTATAATTTATCATTATAAAGCTGTGTATACAAAGATTTGGACTGAAACTTGAGTGTATTTGATTTTGAGCTCACAAACCAAACCTTACAGCCTTATTGAAACAAAAACAGCCTGCATAGAGTATTTAAAATTATTATAGTTGATATATATTGCTAGAACTGCTATGAAAACCTTTTAACCATATATATATAACTAATTTGAGGTGAATGGAGTTAAGTTTAAGGCTGTAGAGACACGAATTTCCAGAAATACCCTTGGACAGCAGAATTCTGCATAAACTGATTTTGAGAAGTTTTTGGGGCTGTAATTGATGTACTTGTTGATGTGCTTTGCCTCTGAGTTTTTGTGAGATGATGAAATGGGTATGTGAGAGTATATTCCAAGCCTGAAATAGTTCAAAACACCCATTATACCCTCGGAACAAAGGCATCACAGAAGCTTAAAATTAGACCCTGAATTGAGCTATTTTGCTACTGAAATTATACTACATTGATGTATACTTGCTTATGTATTTTATATATTCATTTGAGCAAGCTCCAATCACTATGTTGAAGCTATGAAGGTCATTAGTTGAAGGGTGTGTGGTGCATTCCAAGGTTGTAATTGATAAACCTTGAGATTTGGTTTTTTTACCCTTATATTAAAGCTAAGCTTACAACCTGTGAATATCTTTCTATACACATGGTTATTTTCTATTAAGCAAGATTCTATAAGTGTTACAAGTCTGTGGAAGTGGAGTTTGGGATCCCATTGAAGCTATATTGCAGAGTTGCCCTTTGAAGCTACAAAGTTAGGATTTGTTGGGGTTTTTTTGTTTAATCTGAGATTACAATGCTTACCTTGCTATTTTAATTGTTCCTATCAATCTGAGCATGTGTATTTAATCAATTAAAGACTGAGGAAGTGAAGTTTGGGCTGCTATTGAGGCTGAATTATAGTTTTAGCCTTGTGAGGCCAAAACTAGGGTTTTGTGCTTAACAAGGCTGTTGTGTACCTTCATTGTTTTACCTTGCTGGTTTCACTGAGTTTATCTCTTAAGTAAGTGTATCTAAGCCATTGAGAGCTGTGTAAGACTGTTGCGGACCTTTCTAAAGGCTGCATTATGAAGTGACTATTATACCCTTGAATTTAGGGTTTTTACCTAGTGTGTGTTCTACATTGTTCTACCTTGCTTTTCTAATTGAGAACTCTATTCAAGCAAGTGTTATTAACTAAGACAAGGCTGTGGCAACCTAGTTTGAGCATCAAGTGAAGTTGCATTGTGTTTTGACAGTTCTATCCTTTTATTGCAGAGAAGTGAAGACTAGGGTTTCACATTATCCTACTTGAGGCTGTGTATTGCATTTCTTTATTGTTGTTATAGCTAAAGTAGTATGTTATTGATGTATTGACATCTTACTCCATTGGTGATTTAGCTACTAAGAGCTTGTAATCCAATCAGGGTTGTTTTGGACAGGGGGAGTGCATGTGTGCTTATTGTTGATCTTGTGTGTGTATAGAGGGAGTGAAAGTCAGTGTCCTAGCTAGTACAAGGTGTGTGGAAAGTGGGGCAGCTAGGTGAGTAACTACTTGTATACAACAAGTGTTGATGAAGAGCTAGTGTGTGTGTATTGTTTATGAAAGCTAGTGTCTATTCTGATACAAATGTGTGTGCAGAAAGTGAGACAGTTGAGTGTTAACAAGATACGTACAACTAGTGGATGCTTTTATTGGCTGAGGCCAAGAACCAAGGTTTTTCCCAATTGAGAGGGTTTCCTCGTATACCTTGTGTTTGTGTGCCTTGATTGGCTTCAATGTTTATATCTTCTATATTCATCATGTTTACACTTAAGTGAAAAAGAAAAAAATTATCCTGAAACCAATTCAACCCCCCCTTCTTGGTTTAACACTTAGTTGTGATGTGTTATGTGCAAAGTGTATATGTGATTAGCTAAGTGATAGAGTTTTAAAACATATTTGATTGATTACGAGCCTAACTGACATAATGTTTATCAATTCTTCAAGCATGCTAATAACTGAGATTGGGAATTCATTGAGCATGTCATGTATGAGTTTGGCTGAGACTTGTTTAGTTGATCGCATGTTTACTTGGTTGATGTTTTATTGTTGCGCAAGCATAGTTATATGATGGGTATGTTTTTGTTTTGGGACACGTTTATATGTCTAGGTGCATAATGTGGTCATTTGTTCATTGGTATGTTGGTTGCTATAGCGAGCACATTATACTTGTTGACGAAATTATGTTATTTATGATAATATGGTGTATTTGTATATAGAAGGTTGTGACCTAAGAAAGTGTAGTGTTTTCTCATTTGAGTTGGCATGCGTTATCGGACAAGTTGCATGAATCTCTTAGCTTATGGATTGAGCTATATGGCGTGATGTTCATTTTTGACCATTTTTTTTTTTTTTTGCTTTTATAGCATCGTACTTGAGGACGGCATGTGGAGATGCATCCGAGTAGAGTTAAAGAGGGAGTGGGTAAAGGGCAGTCCCTACAGGACAGGATCCCATTGGGACAGGGCCAAAATGTAGAAGTGGATGTTAATCCACAAGTACTGGTAGATGAGTCTTTGTCAACAAGGATTGTGACCTCGATTTTTCAGAGTTTAGCTTGTACCACTATTCCACAAATGGTACAACAACCAATTCCTCAACCACAGGAGACAGAAATGGAAAGGAATCTTTAGTGTATTGTTCAGTTTAATAAGCTTATGAAGGAGTCGTTTGATGGAGGTATGGACCCATTGGTTGTAGACAATTAGTTGGAACAGGTCGAGAAGCATTTTGGGGCAATGACGGTGCCCAATGATTGGTTGAAGATCACATTAGCTATGTATAAGTTTACCAAAGATGCGAGGATATGGTGGAAGACCATGACTAGTGCTCATGGCATTGACAGTATGAGTTGGGATACTTTTAAGGAGCTTTTCTCTGAGAAGTACTTTCCGATAACTAAAAAGAGGGAATTGAGAATTGACCTCCTTAAGCAAGGCGATATGACGGTGGCTGAGTATGAGAATGAGTTCACTTCTCTTTCACCCTTCGCTACTGAAGTGGTAAGGGATGAAAATGAGAAGACTTGGAAGTTTGTTCATGGCCTACATCATTCCATTAGGCCAAGTGTGGCGGCTTTTGAATTGGGTGTGTATTCAGAGGCAGTGACAAAGGCATTGATAGTTGAAGCTGAGGCTAACGATTGGCAGACTAAGAGTGAAGGTGTTTTTTCTGAGAGACAGAAAGAGAAGAGGCATAAGAGTAATGTATCTTCTTCTCAGGGTCAGCAGATGGTGCGATCTGCACCCATTATTTCAGTGTCGATAGGGTCTCACCAGATCAAGATAGTGTGTTATCATTGTAGACAGGCAGGTCACTTCAGGCCTGAGTGCCCACAGGGCCGACCTAGATCCAATGTTTGTTTCAAGTGTGGCGAGTTAGACCATAGAAAGAAGGATTGTCCATTAAGGGGTGGTAGTGTGATTGATAATGTTGGTTTTCAGCAGGGTTCTCAGAGTTCACGACCCACTAGGGGAGCTACCCCTAGTGCGTCTTTTCACCAGTCAGGTTTCTGTGGTGGTGGTTAGTAAGGACAAAAAGCTAGGACTATTAGTCGTACCAAGGTACATTTTATTATATATTTTTGGAGTTCGTGTTTTGGTTGGCTTTTACGCACTTTGCATTTCATTATCTTATGTTGCTTATGTAATTGGTTTTATGAGTTGTATGTTGGTCTGTCAGTGAGGTGAGTAGTAAGACTGACGCATATAGCGTCATCTCTTGGGGATAGTATGTTGGCATGGTCATGGGTGTTGTATGACATTTGGTATATGAGTTACATAGGCATTGGGTATGCATGGTACATATTAAGTGTGATGTGGGGTCACAGTTATGGGAAGGTGTGCATGAGTGCGGCATAGTTGCCATACGTGTATTACATTGATGGCATAGGAGTACAGATAGTGACCTTTCAGAGGTCAATATTGTTTTGTGAGTATTGATTCACGGTTTTGAGGTTGATTTGCGGCTTTACGGAAGATAAGCGATAGTCTTGTTTTCAGTGTCCTTTAGCTAAGCCCAAGGAGGCAGTGTGAGGTTGACTCACATCAGGGGTGGCTAATTGACATTTTTGCCCTTGCGACAAGCGGTTGACTTGTGCTAGTGGTATTGACAATTATAGTTTGGATTGAGTTGGGAGGTGACTATGATTGTTGTTAGATGTCCCCATAGGACATGATAGGGTTTGCATTGTGGTTGCTACCGATGGGTCTATAACCTAAAGGTAAGCAGTTTTGTGGTGAGTTCATTGCATGCTCGCATTTTGCGTGTTAGTACATTGGGGTTGTAGCCTTAAGAGCTAGGATTGCGAGAGCATGTGTATGTGTGTGGGCTATGAGTTTTATAGCTACGGGATAACATCAAGATTGAGTTATTTATAGTACGGGTGATTGACAATTTTGTGAGTAGCTTAGTCATGTCTTATAGAATGGATTGGTTTCGTCAGGGATTTGCTCGATAGGCTAGACTTATTGTGATTTAAGATTATTGTGAGTATTGATTCCTTTGGGATACAAGTGAGGTGTTAGAGTGAAGCTCTGAATTGTGAGTCTCTAGTCTTGAGTAGCTTTTGATTTGGTTATTACAAGGTTTAAGTCTTAAAGACCATGTGATTTGGATGAGGTAGATTTGATTGAGTATGTGAGGATTTAGGCCTTAAGTCGGTGACGATGTCATTGTTGTTTGAGTATGGGATTGGCCAAAATGGACCGGCCAGACATTTGTGGACCATACCCCAGCTCGAAACAAAATGTCAAGACACCGTTAAGCTTAGGGTAATGATTGTTCGTGTCATTAGAGATACTTATTGCTTCTGAAAACTTCATAGTAGCTTGAATGAGGATATGCCATAGGCCTGTACTAGACGTTGGTAATGCCACCTTACTTATGAGAACATTGTGGGGGGGTGCTAGGTACCGACGATGCTACCATGCTGACGAGTATGTGTGGGTGGGTCCTAAATGCTGACGAGGCTACCATTCTTTTAAGTATGTGTTGACAGACACTAGTCGCTAGTCAGACTAGCATATCAAGGAAGGTGTGTGCCATTTAATGATTGGTATGATTGAGGTGTGGAAGTATTCTTTTCGAACGGTGTTAGACTGACTGGTAGCAATGATGGTATTTGATGGTGTTGGTTTGCCTATAATGGCTAACTAGAGTTTGAGTTAGATCTTGGCATGGTTAAATGGCACGTTAGAGCTTATTGATTTCTTTCGAGCCTTTTCAAGGTTTGCAGTTGGTTGGAGATTCTCTAGAGAGATTTCTCTTTTGTGATGTGACGATATAGAAATGAGTAACGGAGTAATAATTTGATTAGGAGAATGAAAAAATGGTGTGAGGAAGAATGCCAGCACATTTTCTCCTTATGGAGGGTAGATTTCGGGGATGAAGTCTCTTAAGGAGGTAGATTGTAGCGTCTCGAATTTTTTAAATTTTTTTATTTAAAATTTCAGTAATTTTTTATGCATCGTTTTACGTGTTGTGCATCGATTAGAGTACCATGAGGACTCCGGTGGTCATTTGGGGCATTTCTTAAAGTTAGAACTCGTAGAAATGTATTTTGGTGCATTTTAGCATTTTTTGGATTTTCGGGTCAAGAGGTCCCACACGGGCCCCACGCCTACAAATTTTGTGCTTGAATTTATTTTCTGGATTCATGTACATGTTATACATGTTATTTGGTGTATAGGTGAGGGTATATGTCAGTTTTTGCATGTTAGTGGCTTGTTTATAGATTAGTGGGCATGTGAGGGCATTTTGGTCATTTTGTGAGTCAACCACATTTGACCTCACATGTGGGGGTCATGGGTCATTATTTTGGCAGACCATTCAACCCACTTTTGGACTATGCTTCCCCTCATTCTTCTTCGTCTCCATCCTTCTTCTTCATAGGCATTCATAACATTGTTTGTTTGTTCGAGGATGAATCATGGCATAGGCATTCATAACATTGTTGGTTTGTGGTACACTTGTGTGTGTGGATATGGTTAAGTTGATGTTTATATATATTGTTGCTAATGCCATACATTGTTAATTGCGTTGTTTTCCCATAATATCATGGACCCCTTACCTTACTCTCCTTCTTCTATATGTGTTTATTCACGGGGCTTTAAGAGCCATGCCTTAGGTATACTCTACTGAGCGATGGTGCTCACCCCTTATTTATAAACATTTTCAGGGTTTTGGAAGCGAGATGGAGGATGGGGCGTACTTACGAGTTTAGACGTAGGTAAGTTGATCACTTTGATCATCCCTTGTAAACAAGACTATTTTTATGTAAAGCATAGTATGAACTTGTAATACTTTGTAATCATTTCAAGGAAATGTAAGGCCATTGTTTTATTGATGTATGTTATCAAGCATGTTATTATTTTGACTATAAACGAACATGAATGTTTCAAATGGTGCATGGGTTCCATTTTGTTGTCATTTATATTCTTATATATCTTGTTTGAGTTGGTTGGAAAGTACCCAAATCACCTTCCATGGGACCTAAGAGGTATCCATGACCATACCCACTCAGTTTTAGCCTTTTCTAGACATTTTTCAGGGCTTTGGTCTTCTGGAACTGGTTCAACTTTCATGGAACTGGTTTAAGGGTGTAATTGGTTCATGTTTAGGCATTCTACCCATGTGGAACCAATTCAAGAAATCTGGTAGCGGTTCAAGTCCTCCAGTGCACCTTTTGGCTTTCACAGTTTGTCAACTTGGATCACCTGATTTCGGGTGGTCATAACTTCTTCGTTCCAAACCCAAATAGGGTCTTTCTTGAGTCAATTTTCAAGAATTTTGAGTTAGGTTTCCAATGAGACTAACCTAACCTTCAAATTCCATTCATGTTGAGAGATATGGTTCTTTTAGTGGGATAGTGTCAGAATTTCCCTTAGACCGAGTAAGGATACTTTTGGGAAATCATGACCAATGACCGTAAAACCTCTTTAAAAATCCATGGAATGACTAGAATATTTGTTTTAAACTTCATTTGACTAGATTAAGGTTAGATTATCCATACTTACTATAAAATGACCATTTTACCCCTAGTGTGTCCACGAGTTCGAGTAAGGACTCGGTTATCGATTCGGACCCCCGAGTTCGGGTCTTTACATATTCAATTTGAGGGTCAATGGTGGATTAAGTATAGGTACCCATATTAACCCGTTTAAACAAAATCCTTTCTTCTTTTTTTTTTTTTTCACTCTTCATTCTTTTTCTCCCTCTGTTTTCTACCTTTTTTTGTCATAAAAAAGAAAGAAAAAATTGTAACGCTTGAAATAAAAAAATAAAAAAAATTAATGTAATTTTTGTTTTATTTTTGTTATTCAACAATCATAATAGTAATAATATTACTAGAAAAGTTAAAAGTGCGTGATGATATTGCTGAGCCGAGCAAAGGCCGGATTTCTCCTTCAGATTTCACTGCAATTGACAATCAAAATGTCATGTCCGCCAACCAAGAAATTAAAGCTGCCTCTATCGCCTCACTTTCTGTCCAACAACTTCAAGACATGATAGTGAATTGTATAAAAGGACAATACAGTGGCGTCCCTTAAAGTGCTCGCATGTACTTAAAGCCTTACACCGAAAAAATTGACATCTTAAAACTGCCAGTTGGGCATCAACCTCCAAAGCTTCAACAATTTGACAGTAAAGGCAATCCCAAGCAACATATTGCACACTTCGTGGAAACTTGCGGCAATGCTGGAACAGATGGAGACCTCCTTGTTAAGAAATTCATTCACTCACTCAAAGGGAATGCATTTGATCAGTACACAGACCTCAAAGCTGGGAGTATTGACGGGTGGGAGTAGATGGAGCAAGAATTTCTCAACCGCTTCTATAGTACTCGCAGAATAGTGAGCATGTTGGAGCTTACTAACACTAAACAAATGAAGGATGAGCATGTGGTTGACTGCATTAATCGTTGGCGAGCTCTAAGTCTTAACTGTAAGGATTATTTATCTGAAATTTCTGCAGTTGAAATGTGTATGCAAGGCATGCACTGGGAGCTTCTTTACATCCTACGAGGGATTAGGCCTCACACATTTGAAGAGCTTGTTACTTCAGCCCATGATATGGAGCTTAACATGAAAAATCATGGTGCTAAGGAAGATGTTCCTGATAAACCCGACAGCCTTCAAGAAGATGAGGGAAGTGAGTCCAAAGAGGAAGACAAAATACTTCTTAACTCGGACGATGAAGTAGCTACATCTTTCATTACAAGCATCGTCTGGAGAGACTTGAATCAAGAAACGCATCATGCAACTATGATGACTTTAATGGAAGGTGCTCAGTCGAAGAAAGCATTAAGTCAAGGAAACCGTGGTAGAAGACCAAACTTGTCAAGAAAATTTGCTTTCAAGTACAAGAAGATTCTTGCAAAGTTGATGAATAATTAAAGATAAAGTGCTCCCCGATATAAGTCTAAACTATTACTGATACTCCCTGACACGAGTATAAAATGTCTACTTGAAAAAAATCAATTAAAAAAAATTTCCTTGGCATGAGTTTAAACTGTCTTTTTAAAAAATAAAAATAAAAAACCCTCTTTGACACGAGTTTAAACTATCTCCTAAAAAAAAAAGGCTCATTGACACGAGTAAAAACTGTCTACCTTTAAAAAAAAATCAAGAACTCATTCACATGACTATAAACTGTCTAACAAAAAAAAAAAAAAAAAAAACACTCCTTGACAAGAGTTTAAACTGTTTACCTGAACTCCTTGGCATGAGTTTAAACTGTCTTCTAAAAAAAAACTCCTTGACACAAGTTTAAACTGTCCCAAAAAAATAATAATAATAATAATAATAATCAAGAACTCCTTGACATGAGTATAAACTATTTGCAAATATAAATATATATATATATATATATATATATATATAGATGAACTACATGATGACTTGATCCCTGTTTAAGGTATGTAGGCATCTTGAAAGTTTGTTCCAAGTTTACTCAACCCAACAAAAAAAAAAAAAATGGCAAAGTGTGCTCATCGCATGATATCAAAAGTAATTTGTCGCACCCTATCAACTTAATGAAAAATGGCAAAGTGTGCTCATCTTCCCTAGGCATAGACTATGAAAACATTCATTAATGAAAAATGTTTAAACACCATTGCATAATCTCTATTCTTATTGTCTGAGATTCCCTTAGCCTCCAATCTCGTAGACTAAGAATAGGTTGAATATAGTTTAAGAACAATTAAATCTAAGATAAGGTATTAATTACTCAAAAACTACTTTACTTCATTAAAATCCCAATTTCTTAGAACATCTAAGTCAATTGCTCAAAACCATGCAATCAAAATACATAAACAGTTAAAATCCCAAAGTATAGAACAATCAAACCATAGTAATCGAATTTGGGTTACATCAATGCCCCAAGAGAAGATTTAGCTACTCATGATGATGGAAGATATCATCTTTTTTGTTGTGGACTTCATCATCATGGATTGCACTTCATTTATATGGATCTTCACCTTCAATACTTCAGAGAGAACTCAGAAACCCTAAAAGCCGCCAAATATTTGCAATAGAAAAGAACTAAAGGAAGGAGAGAGAGAGAGAGAGGGGATCTTAATGTGTCTTCTCATCTTATTTTATAGTGAAGAACAAGTCCTAATCCCCTTTGGATGAGTTTTAAAGCTTTTGGGAACAATTGGGCCCATAAGGAAACAAAGAGGGGTGATTTTACATCATTCCTGCATGTTTTTTTAACTTCCAGGATGTTTGTGCTCGAGCACAAAACATAATCTCCGCACTTAGTTTTCTGCCAGCAAATTGTTTGGAAATTGTAACGCTATTTTGACATATTTAGAATACGAATCTCGAAATCACTATTAGAGATAAAAATATCAAGCTTCGAGTCTTCTTTCCATAGCCTCTACGTTTGCCCAATTTGAAGTTTTGAGTGAAAAGTTATGCCTAAAACACTAAAGTAGGTCCAGAATTTTCATCAGTGCTTAAGCTCTGAAGGGTTGTGCTCGAGCACAAAGTTTTGTGCTCAAGCTCTGAGAGCTGAATTTTTTTGAAGTGACTTTTTCTTCAACACTTAGCCATTTTTCTTGAATTTTATGATTTGTGCTCGAGCACAAAAAGTTGTGCTCGAGCTATGGGGCCAGAATTCTTGCAAATCTACCTGATTGAGTCCCAAATTGACCCGGAAGGCCCCGAACATCTCCTAAAGCACCAGGAACATTGCAATATGCTCTAAATACATGGAATTGACCTTTTGTTTTTTTGCGTAAAACCCTACAAAAGGCAAATATTCAAAAATAAGTGTAAAACGTGTATATAACTATCACTAAAGTGTTAACATACATACGTTTAGGGGCTCGAATATGCAATATTCAGTGCTCATTAGCAAGCGCCCACCAGTTACATTAGTCCATTGGTGAGTATCATTCTCATACATCAATTACTGTATTACAAATAATCCTGTGGATCCCATGTACCTCCATAATAGTACGTAGATGAACATGCATATTTGATTATTTCTTCTTCAGTAGTCGGTGTGGTGTCAAGACCCAAAGCACGAAATTGCATGCAAAAGTGGAGTGTAGTGTGGCCAAGTTTAAATTTAGAGATTGCCACTACTACTTCTAACTATAAATATAGTTAGGGTGAGTAGGGATCGTCCCAAGGGAAATAGAGTGTATTATACTTGGAAATCAAGGTCAGATTAGTAGGTCGAGTAATCAAAGATCTTTTGATTGGTTAATTAAACTACAATGTCAACTAAATAGATGCAAGGTAAAGCAATTAAAATAGAGTAAAATGTAGAGAATATAAGAGAGGGATCTTGGGACTTAGAAGTCACCACTAAACATCACCTTCCTAGACACTCAATGTGTAATGAATGAGGGGGATTATATGTTGCAATATTAGTGTGTTTCATTGATTGAATCAACAAGCATGGATGACTAATTAAGTATACATTGTCTAAACAAACTAGTGAATATCACAACATATCAAATTAAGCCATTATTTCTTCCTTTAAGTCCACAATCAATACACATCATCAAAATAGAGAAATATACAACTTGCATTCATAAGCATAGAACATCAAACAATAAGCATGGATTGTCTTCCCATCTAAGAAAGTAAGGCAACTACACTACAACTAAGCTAGGGACATGAAAATTAAACTAATTAAACTAAGAAAGAGGTACAATCCATCAAGAAATGAGTATAAACCATCAAACAAAAAATAAGAGTATTCCATTAAAGCACCATGCCTTGACCATCACTAGATTCATAGCATCAACACACATAGATATGCATCAATATCACAAAACCTAGAGATAAACACATGAACATCTATTCTAGCATACAAAGATATATGAATAGAATGAAATGATCAATTAGAAGTATTAAACCATACAAATCATTGTAGAAACAAGATTCATATATAAATCAAGTGTCAAGGCAAGAATTACAACACAAATCCCCTCAAAGTACAAAACATCGAAGTCTAGGAGGCATGCTTAGGGCTATCTCTAGCCCCAAGAGAATGGTTTAGCCACTCATTAATGTAGTCATCCAACCCTCAAGGGTCATCTCTATGGTAGGAATGATCTTTTTCTCCTTGATGGAAACCCTAGATGAGTGGAAGAACTCCCAAATGGTGTGTGTCTCTCTAATCTCTAGACTCCTCCGACCTCTCTTGATTATATGGTTCCTTTCTCTAAGATTGTATATGTGTAAAATGGCTCAAAATCCTTATATAAGTAGCTCCAGTGTCACACCCAATGGTCAAACCTCGTGCACTAGGACCTCTAAATGATTGCACCACGAGCACACCTTTTAATTGGCTGGAACTCTGTTTTTTCGCACTTGAGGAGGTTCGATTGATCACAAGGGTGGTCAGATCAATCGAACCATCGCCTTTTTGGAATAAAGGCAAATCTGAGATATTTTTAGGATATTTTGGGAAAAGGACAAAAGTGGTAGGTGGGGATAAGATCAAAGAAGTCCGATCGATCGAAGTAATGTTGGATCGGTCGAAGATAGGAATTTCCTGAGGATAAGGACAAGAGGCTCGATCCATCTTGGCATGGTTGGAATGATCACTGTGAGATCGATCTAAGCTTGTTCTGATCGATCGAAGTTTCCTATTTTCTACCACTTTGCTTTCACTTTGCTCCTTTCTTCCACTAAGCTTAGGATTGCATCTTTTATGCTATAATTCAGCTGAATTGACTTATTTTGGGGATAAGTACCTGAAAAGGGAAATAACATGAAATTAGACTAAAACGGGAAAATAAGATAGGATAAGGTCCTAGAATACCCAAGTTTAAGGGGTTTAAATGCGTACTTTTCAGCGCTCATCAGTAGTGGCCTTTATATTATAAGAATAAGCTTTTTTAGTCAAATCATGCACACGTTACATTTGGTTGGATGAATAGATAGTGGCACTGGTCAATTTTGTAAAGTTATGGGGCTAACAGATAGCAAGTTGTCCAAAAAGTCAAGACTTATATTTGCGGGAAAAAAATTCTTAATTTTTATTTGAAATTCAAAATGAATATAATCATTTTAAAGTTGTGTCACATTAATGGTGAGAAGGTGGTTACTGCTCAAGTATTCATCATGCTTTTTGTGTGTGTGTGTGTGTGTATGTGTGTGTGTGTGTGTATATTGAACATATAACGCCCTTATAGGTTCTAAAAAACCCCTAACATTTATTGGAGGGGCAAATAAGGACCTCCCATCAATTGGTTGTTAATGGGGTGATAAAAATACTATAATGCCCTTCCTACAATTAAAAAATATATAAAATAAAAATTCAATTAATGTAAAATTACTATTATATCCTTTATTTTTGAGATTTATATATAAAAGGAAGGGTGTTTTGGGAATTAAAAAGAGTAATATTGGTATTTATTAAATTTAATCAGTCATGTGTCAGGCACATATATTTTTTTTAATGATGCATTTTTAATGGTAACAGCTGAAAAATCATTCTTACAACATTTTTAAATTCTTGAGGGAGTTATATAGCTAAAGTAAAAGAGGGGTGTTATTTGCTCAAAAAGTAAACCTTGTGGGTGTTTTAGATACTTAACCCTTATTTTGAATGATAAAGTAAACATATGCACCCTCTACGTTTTATTCTAATATCGCTCCAACACTCAACCCTTGTGAAGAAGAGCTTAATTATACCGTCCAGACTAGAGCCCATTAGTATATTTTTATGGGTACTCCCTGAACTGTTATGGTTTTGTAAGAAACCCCCTTGAACTACAAAAAAAAAAAAAAAAAAAAAAAAAAAAAAAAAAACCCCCTTGAACTATGTTTTTGTTGCATTTAACCCCACCAGGTTTACTTTCGATGCCGGAAAGTGCAAAAAACCAATTTACCCTAATAAAAAACTACACCATTTTAAACTTATACCCTTAATGCTATGTTCAGTTGGAAGGAAAGAAGAGGGGTGGAAGGAAAATAGAGATAATATAAGGAAAGAAAGGATAATAGGATGACTCATCATTCCTCATTCACAAATTTTCATCCTTCCAAATATGGACGGAAGATGGGAGAGAAGACAAGTGAAACCATTATAGAAGTTTTAAATTATTACATCATCCTTCATAAATATTTAATAAATTTCATAAATAAAGTAGTGATGGGTTTAATGGTAAAAATAACTTAAAAACTTATATTTCTTTCATCTAACCGAACAAAAATAGGAAAACACTTAATCTCTCCCCTAGGGATGCCTTAGCCATCCCTTATTCTCTCCCTTCCATTCAAATTTTTTTCCTTCCTACCGAACGGAGCACAAGTCTTACAATCTATTTTACTTAATATATACTGTTCACCTAACCACAAACGCAACTAATAAAATAGAGATAAAGAGAGAAAGAAATGCATAGGGATAGAGAGAGAAAGAAGGAACCAGTGAGAGAACTCAAGAGACGGCATTCATGGCACAGGAAAAAGAACCACAAAGAGGCAACATCTATGAGAGACCATCATCGTCTTCTAAAGAACCTCCTCAAATCCATACTCTCTTGGTACGAATCAGCCTCTTCAATCACATCATCTTCTTCTTCTGGGTTGCCAGCATTGTACGCTTCTGTTCTGTCGGAGGTTAATTCTCTGGGCCTACCACTGATGCAGAGAATTAAACTTCTTTCTCTCTACTACTCTGCAATCCTTCATTTCGAAGAACAATTCTCAGTCAATAGTCCCAAATCAGAAACCTTAGCAATCAATAACTATGACATCAATTGGCATTCTTAATCTGAACTGCTCAAAGGTGTGCTGGCCATCAATTAAAAGGATTTCTAAAAATACGCCGGATCAATTTTGTCCTTGATGAGGTAAAATCGAATCCGAAGCAATTCGTGAAGTTTTTGAATTTGGAGTGATCAAGTCGTGGATGGTGTCGCCACTGTAGAAACATCTGGATTTCTTGTTCGGTTGGGTATAGTTTTTCATTCTTCTCTCTAGGTACCTAATCTCATCACAACTCCATTAAGAGACCTAACAAAGTGGGTCTTCCTCTTGTGCCCATCACTATTCACTACCACCATAATCCCTCTCACCCAACTCTAAAATTGACCACTCAGTTTCAATTAATCAATTCACAACCACAATATCTCCTATTCTTGTTGTCCTGTAATTAGACTCGAACAGAGTAATCAGGAAAAGGAATTTAACAATCTCTCGACCTCTCAGTTCTCTCTCTTCGATTGATTGATTATTGCTCAACAATCACAAGTATGTCTAATATATATATAAAAACAAAGGGAGAAGGAGAGAGATAAGCAATATATATAGATATCTAATGACAGGGTAAGATAGAGGTTCAGATTGCCCTATCGAATCAATGTGTGTGTGCGCGTGTGTGTAGTTTTTTTTTTTTTTTTTTTTCATAATTGTGGTTGAATTGTGTGTGTAGGTTTAGTTTGGCCAACAAGGTTTAATTCGAATGGTGGAAAAAAAAATGGAGTTCTCATTAATCTATTGAGCTCCTAACTCTGCAACGGCATGAGTTGGTTTTTATGTGTTGTTTTGGTCAGCAAGATTTTTTAATTTATTAAAAGTATGCCAAGAAAATGATGAACAGTGTTTTTATCTCTCTCTATGTGTATTTACATCTGTAGATATAAGGGATAATGGTGTGTTTGGATGTATAGACATAAGGGATAAGGGTGTGTTTGGATGTAATAGTAAATTAAAGAGTTGTTTGGGTGTTGTGGATATAATAAGGGTAAATAACACTCAGATCCCTTAAGGTAAGGTCATTTTTCACCTGTATGAAGATTTTGGTTTTTGACGGGCGTGTATTTCATGATATTGTCGTTGCAGATACACTCCGTGCAAAAATTATTTATTTTCCTACAATCACTTTATTAAAAATGTACAATGATAAGCAGGGTCAAACCCAAGGGAATGCTATGATGAAAAACTACTCTGAATCCAAGTGAATTTAAATCTAACCTAGTTAATCAAAGTGGTAGAAGAATAGATTTTGAAATAATTAAAACTAAAATAGAATTAAATAAAAATAATAAAAAGATAAAATATAATGGAACCAACTTTACTACAAATCTCATAACAATCACTAATCATATCTAACATGGGAAATTTCATTCTATGTATGACTATGATTCGTGTGGCTACAAGCACACAACGATATCGTCAAGAAGATAAATGTACATATAATCAAAAGCTAAGTATAACCCATTTTTGGTTGGCATGGACCGTCTACCTAACTACATTATTCTAAGGTTGTAGTACGGTCCATCTTCCCTAGGCATGGCCTATCAAATCCGTTGCATTACATGCCATGAAAACCATTGCACAATCATCATTCTCACTCTCACTATAAGAATGATTTTGAGCTTACTCTTGCACAATCATTATTCTCACTCTCACTATAAGAATGATTTTGAGTTTACTCTTACACAATTATCATTCTCACTCTCACTATAAGAATGATTTTGAGCCAACTCTTGCACAATCATCATTCTCACTCTCACTATAAGAATGATTTTGAGCTTACTCTTGCACAATCATTATTCTCACTCTCACTATAAGAACGATTTTGTGCTTACTAAAGATATATTTTCTGTCTAAATTGTGCAATTATCACACATATGAATAAATTTCCCCAATTATAAACATAATCAGAAAATCATTATTTGAAATATAATTACATTAATTCCAAATACTAAAAATAAACAAAATAAATAAAAATAAACACAAGGACGGGGCAAGAGCCCCTTCTCTAGACTCCAATCCGTCCGTCTGCTCTCTCTGTCTCAGTTTATCTCTTCTATCCTAGCTTTAGCCATTTAAAGGAATAAATTTCTTAACTCTCTTTGTGACGGCCCTGGTTTTTTAAGCCAATGCGTCCTGTAATGAACCGAAGATTGACCCGATAACGGATCCGAATGTGGAAGCAAAAACAGAAAACAAGACTCTAAGAAGCAAAGTGACCTTCCATGAGGTCGTGGAACTCAATGAGAACTGACGTGGAAGCAAAAGATCAAAAATATGACAAATAAGCCCCCAGGGGCAAAATGATAATTTTTTAAAAATATGAACTGGGGCACCACTGAGCACACCGCTGGGAAGACAACGAAAAACTAATCAAGATGGACTTCAGAATCGCATGATTCAAAGTCCGGACAGAGGAGACACGGCATGACGAAGAAAAACAAGCACTTAAGGCAAAAAGGGTAAAACTCGTAATTATCCAGAAAGATCCGGGTGCAACCGAGCACACCGTTAGAATTTACTATTACATCCAAACACGAAGAAGAAACCCAAACAAGAATCAACGTCATGACGTCGAGACCCAAACAAGAATCAACGTCATGATGTCCAAAACGAGGTCTGAAACGAATTTTTCTGGAAAAACACGAAGAAGAAACCACCCCTAAAATTGAGTTTTCTACCCGACTTTGTGGAAGGAAACGAAAAAGACACACTGTAAAATCCCCAAAATGCCTTTAGATCAGAATTAGACAAGAGGGCAAAAAGCTGCTATAGTAACTGTCCACATCTGAGATCAAAAACGGGCTACCAAACGAATTTTTTAGAAAAATACGAAGAAGAAACCCCTCCCGAAATAAAATTTTCTACCCGACAACTCAGAAGAAAATGAAAAAAAACTCACTGTAAAATGCCCAAAATGCCCCTTCATGAAATCAGGTCATGAGGGTTAAAAAACTACTAAAATGCAAAACTGAAAGCTGAACTTTGTGAGGGATTTCCTATACCAAGATGACATTTTCCGAAAAAATACGAAGAAGAAACCCCCCCCCCCCTCCGAAAATCACATTTTCTAAGTGACCATGTGAAGACCGAAATTTATTTCTCGAAAGGAAAACCCTAAAATGCCCTAAAATCATATTATGCAATAAAAATGTAAAATGAATCCATAGGAGGCTCAAATCACCAAGGATGAGGTTTTTCTTGAAAACGATCATGCATGCAAATGTAACTTACCCATTAGGACGTGCTACAATGGTCCACGGCTTAAAAATATCGCCGATGCAAAATTCGACCCCCCCCCCCCCCCCCCGGGGCCAAAAAGGCAAAAATGAACTAGAAATGGTAAATTTGAAAACTAAAATTAACAGATAATTTCAAATTATTGTTTGGCCCTTGGCCACACTTCATGCATATTAAGTAGGTCCTAATGAATGTGCTCGTCCACACTTTGTATCACCCGATTTGAAAATGAACCCTTAAAGGCTCGGATTTTACTATTTTAGCTCAAAATACAAAGTATGAAACTAAAATGCAAAAATGAAAACAAAATGGTGATTGGCCCTTGGCCACACCTCATACATATTAAATGAATGCTAGATAATGAATTTCATACCCGATGCACACTCCGATGCAAAAATGTCATGCTAAAACCCTAATTTCTCATATATTCTCATTAAAGACAAGATTTCAACATTTATGAATATACATGAATTTCAAATATGATTTGGTCCTTGGCCTCATATCATATACATAAAATGAGAATCAAAAAGTGTGCTTAGGCACACATTACAACCCTAAAAGTGCCCCGAAAGGGCCCCATCGGGTCCGAAAAAGCGAAATTTAAGCAGACGCGCTCAAACGGCAAAACTCCGTGAATGAAAAAGAACCAAAATGAGAAAATATGAATAATAAAAGAAACAGCGTCAAAAACTGAGTCTCGAGTAGAGAGATATGCCCCGAACAAGTTCGGCGGCAACTAGGGCCAGAAACCCTAAAAGTGGAGAAAAATGACCAGAAGGAAATTTTAAGAGCACACAACTCGATGAAATGTGAAAAAGAATCCCGTATGAGGATCCAGGCTCAAAACGAGTATTTAACAATAACTTTCATTAATTGCACAATGGCCCCTCCAAAAAGTGAAAACTGCACTAATAGCACAGAAAGAAAATAACTTCCAAAAATATTTTCTTAAAAACCCCTAAAATAAAATATCTTCAAAAGATATTTATGAAAAACACCCCAAGAAAAGAAAAAGATTCTAAAAAACTATGCATCCATGTCCCTATAGACACCGAGAGCAACCAGAGTACTTTACTGCAAAAGTAAAGATACATATTTCATGGAAACCACTTAGAATGAAGATACGTGAAGTCAAAAACCAACTCCGGATAAAAAAAGTGAGGTTATGTCAACAAAGTGGCGAACGAGGAAAAGACAAAATAGGGAAAAGGACGAAAAGTGAATAGTGTCAAAAAACGAAAAATGTGGAAATGACTCGGTCCTTAAAGGAAGTTATCAACCCAGGGGAAAGAGTCTCAGAAACCATTTTCGAGCACTCGAGACAACACTAAGTGACGAGAAACCAAATACATAATAGAAAAGACAACGGAAAAAATTTATCCACAAAATTTGAGGAAAAAGGAAAGGAAGAAAATGACCGGGTCATTACAACCTACCCTCCTTAAAGGAATTTCGTCCCCGAAATCAGGAACAGACAAAAGAGAACCGAACAAGATCAAAGCAAGATCAAACCAAAGGACAAACCATAAGGTGCTAAAGGACAACTCCAAAAGCTTGAAGGTCATCCGAAAGGACACAAAAATCAAGAACTGAGTGACATTTCCCAAACGAATCAGCATATCAACTCAAAGTCAATCACCGAGAGAATCCCTAAGACAACAACAAGTCAAATCATGATAGATGGCTAAGAATGATATGGCAATACGAACAATGACCAGAACCCGCCCACACTTACTCGTCAGTAAGGTAGCATGACAGTAAAAGGCACTAGTTCATAACATGCCCTCAACAGATCAACTCAGAAAGAAACTTTTCGATACAAATGACATCAATGTCGAAAATGATCATTACCAAAAGCACTACGGAAACCAAGCATCTGCGAGATTTGGGGTAGCTAATCCCAAAACTTTAACAACAATGTCATTGGTACAGTTACGCTGAAGGCCTTAAATCCCTAATGCTGGAGTAACAACAACCCCCACATCTTAAAATGTTATAACAACAACACCAGTCACGAACCCACAACCTAACAAGTCTATGCCCTCAAGCCAATGGATCGGACCCACAAAACCAAAAACCTATGCACCGATCTGAAGTAGACCTACCGTAAGGCTACATACAGAAGACAAAACGCTGGGTCAAAATCCCTATAGTGGACAACTAAAACCTCAAAATGCAAGTCTATTACGTAGCTCACACATAATAATCTTGACAACTAAGGTCACAAAACCCCAACAATATATGCAGGAAAGATGAAGTAGTATAAACCAAATACTCACATAGTGCATACTTGCAAAAATTAAATGACATAAATCAAATAATATAATAGTACTAAGTATAGTACATATAAGGTAAACCAAATAAACCAAATAATATAATAGTACTAAGTACTAAGTACAGCGCATAGTAATTTGATTGCAATTCATGATGCAGGGGTTACTATTACTGATCCAAATGATATTCACAGGAGGTTTGTTGATTATTTTCATCAAGCATATGCAGGAGGGAATACTGAGTTAGATGAACCTGAGCAAAAATATATTAGGAAAACCCTTGGAGTT